AGAAAGAAAGAAAGAAAGAAAGAAAGAAAGAAAGAAAGAAAGAAAGAGGAAGAGGAGGAGAAAGGAAGCAGAGAGTCTCCTTGGATAAGCCTGGGAAGAAGCCCATGGCAGGCGTGGATGGAGGAAGCAGCCCAGATGAAGAATAAGCAAGTATTTATGGAACTATGGATGGGAGGTAGCCCGGAATGGGGCTGAGAGGTAAAGGTAGTTTAGCGGGTTAATATCTGCCCTGCCCCAGATAAGACAAGGCTATTCTCAAATCTATCAGGTATCTGTGTCTGTTATTGATTGTGGTAGCAGGTTAGATGTATACCATAGTAATAACGGTAGGGCTAATAATAAACATTATTAGACCATACCATTAAATAACACAGCAACATACAGTATCGGGCTATATAGTTTTGGCCTGGGGATGCACTGGAGTCTACAGTCAGCTGTGTAACTCTGCACACCAAAGCGCCCGCCATTTCCATGATGGGTACTCCATGCATGTTGTCAGCATGGTTCACTAATTCCACTGGGAGAGAGGGCTGAAATCCTTGCCCCTTCCCTATCCTCCTCTGCTGTCTTACTCTGTTCCTCTTACTGTCATAAACCATAGAGCAGTGGATGAGAGTTTTAACAAATGGGGGTAGCCAGGGAGATCTTAAACCTAAATTGGGACATTAGGCATGATGTATAGAGTACTCTTGCTCATAAGAAACTCCAGCCATCACATTCAGACACAAAAATAATATCCCTTTCGTAGTAAGCATTCACATCTGCAGTTTACAAAAGCAACCATAGGTAGCACCTTTGGGAAGTGTGTGTGTGTGTGTGTGTGTGGGTAAAACATGAGTTGCCTGATCAATCATATAACTGTAACCCCCTCTCAGGAAATTGAATTTTTTTTTCCCCAAGAATCACTAGGAAAGACAGCTCAGACCTAGTACAACCAAATGAAAAAAAAAAAAAAAAAAAAAAAGTTTGGCCAGCAAGGCAGCCATAGAGCAGGCCCTGTCTACTTGATCATTGGTTTCTAGTTCACAAAGCAAGAACAATATAGTAGCTCTGCTGATACCATTATTGATAAATACTAAACAAATAAAAGGCAGTTGCTTTGAAGGATCGGCGATGAGAGCGCTGTTGGAGGTTGGTCTAACGCTAATTACTGGCCATGAAGATCGGTTACTGCCCGATGGATACACCCATCCTTGTTGGTGTAAGCCTGAGACATGACTGGTTGATTAAACAGCCTATACCTGGGTAGGGAAGAATGGGGTAGGCATGGCTAGGGTTCTCGAGGTTTCGAGGATCATCACTGGAAACAGAGAAGAGAGGAGGAAGGAGGATGCCAAGATGATGGGTTAATGTGGAGAAAACGAAACAAAACAAAAAAGCAAATGGCCCGAGAGAAAGGACTCCAATAACGCTGTGAAGAAGCCCAGATGAAAAATACAAGTACCGTGGGATCGTGGATGAAAGGCAGTCTAGTTGAAGAGGATTAAGGTGCACTGGATGGGGGCTGGAGATGGATGGTGAGGATACTGAGACAGTGTAAGTGAAACATCTGCCTGGCCCAAGTATAGAAGGTAATTATAAATCTACCAGGTGTCTGTGTCTTATTACTTGTGATAGTGAGTTAGATAATATGGCTAATCATCAATAATATATAGCTCCACACTCATGTTTTGTTTTGTTTTTTACTACAACAGTTTGGCAAATCAGAAGGCATGGAATTTAATTAATTTATCTTTGCAGTCAGACTCCTAGGGGAAAAAATTTAAATTATTATTAGTGTGTGTATCTGTGGACCCTAACTTGCTATGGCACATGCATGGAGACCAGAGAACAGAAGTGGACCTGTGATTCCAGAGGCTGAGGTCAAGTGTCAGCTGTGTGGTAAGCGCTTTCCCTTCAGAGGCATGGCGCCAGCTCCTCTACGCAAACGGAACAGACAAATGAAAATGGTTATTTAGATAGCAGTGATAACTCCTTGGTTTTGGTGAGACACTGTTTAGAAAGAAAGGAAACACATACCACTAAGGACGCTTTTTTTTTGTTTTGTTTTGTTTTGATTTTTGTTGTTTTGTTTTTTCTGTTTTTCTAACAGGTTCCTGAGTAGTTTGCACAACAGTGTCATGCTGATGTTTCTTATCACACCAGTCAGAAGAAGATGCTGGAGTTACTGAGAGCCATGGAGGGTGACTCATGCAGAATGACAAGTGGGCTATGCTTTGATCTGCTTCCAGCACACTCGGCGACTTCACAGCACAGAACAGTAATTCTGTATTCCTTTAGCCCTCTATTGTGTGTCTGAATTATCAGCTACATTTTCATAGGAGGAAGAGGGAGTGTGGAAATCATGCATTGTGAATTACAAAAATGCTTTGAAATTTTCTTTTAAATTATATTTTGGATATTAGTCATTTCAGTGATTAAAATATGTAAAAACTAGTAAACAAGACATGCCTATTTTTGCATAGTTAATAGAATGGATTTGGTTTTATCACACAAAGCTCCTAATCCTCCAGGTAAATACTGGACAGGAGGCAAGTAAGCCTGTTGGGAACTACAGTCTGGGAATGGCGCTGCCCACAGATTCCACAAAAGCTGTGGCAAGGTGAGGAGGCCCCACTGGGCCCCACACACACACACACAAAGTTCCATTGAGGTGTTGTTGCAAAGGAAACCTGGGGGTGGGGTGGTCCCCCAAGCCTGGACAGAGTTCCTGCTGTTCTTGGGAACTTCCTGGAAGTCTTGAGATAGATACCCCAAAGGGACAGTGTGCTTGGGTCTCCGGCTGCCAGGGCTGCCTGCCAGCCAGCCTCACTGTTGTCATTGTTAACAAATGTCACTCCACCCAAGGCAGGATTTTCAAAGATCCCTCAGATGAATGGGAACTTCTGGCTGCCCCTTGCTTTCTGAAGTGTGTTATGACAGGAATTTGAGCTCTTCCTTCATGATTCAGGAAAATTCCTGAGCGCCTGGAGGGTGACCTTTAACGGGGAGCAGTAAACATTCTCATCCTTTCTGGGCATTTGCAGGGTCTGACGGGTCAGCAGAGAACTATTCTCACAGATGAGTTGGTGCTGTAGGTTGTTCAGGAAATGCGAGGTAGCACGCCACTGTTTAAATATTTCCCTGTCTGACTCTGAGCCCCTGCTACCTGGAACAGGAAAACGAGGCAGGCTAAGATGGAACTCCAGGAAGCAAGGAGAGCTGTGTTAGTCCCAGGAAAGTCAGGGCTGGCCTTATTCAGCAGTCCCACAAGCTATGCTGGGCAGGAACAGCTGTGCCTGGTATACTCCCTTGCACAGTTTCAAGAGAACACTTCATGTGTCTATCTCATGCATTCTTCTTAACCCTGGAGGGAAGGTCAGACCCACTCCTGCCATTCCAGAACAAAAGCTACAGTCTGTGTATTTCAAGCATGGAGGCTGGGCGCCTGCAGGCATCATCTAATAAATTTCAGACATGCCCATGTGGGCAAGGGTGGGGACAGCTCCAGTGGCATCTCCTGAGAGAGAATACATACATGCCAGCAATACGGTGGCTTTCCCAGGAGACTGATCTCACAGTGTGGGTGAGCACACTCAAGCATGCTCCTACTGGGGAGCAGCTGAACAGCTCTGGGAAGAGTCGACTCAAGTAGAGAAACAAGCTTCTGAGTCTCCACCATCAGTTTCCAGCTGGGTTACATTCAAAATGTTACCTGACCTGTCAGGGTCACGGTCCTTCATTGGTTACGCGCCGGTAATCTGAGCAACTACTGCAGATGTGCCTGGTAAGAAATAAATGGGATAATGTGCGTGGAAAGGCTTTGCAAACAGTAGCTGATGAAGTGCAGTCAACGGGGCGATGTCTGGTGCTGTAGCGGAAGCCTCGTGCGTCCTAACAAAAATCCTCACTTGAAGTAGCTTACTGTTGTGCTCCTCAAGATGGGACAGTGGGTAAGAAAAGCAAAGAACAGAGCTACCCTTAACCCCCGTAACAGTAGCAAAGTTTATTGTGGGGCATCTCAGTTGTCCAAATTCACCTCAGACTCCTTCCTCCTTAACCTAAGGCCTGTTTCCTGAGACCTGTTACTATCTCTTAGCTGCCCTTTCTTATGTTCACAGTTTGAAAACGCGGCCTTGAGCCTTTTGACACTCCTTTTGCGTGATGGAGTCTTTGGGCCCTCCCTTTGAGTCTTGCAAGCTCTGTGGCTGCCAGGCAGTAACAGGCTTTGCATCCTTACAGACTCTGGGAAGTTTACTCACCCGAGGCAGCAGAGATGGAAGGCCACAGCCAGTAGTGTTGGTCCAGTTCAGACTCCCCATCCTACCCGCCCAGGTTAGGTGGCTTACCCACCCCCACAATGGCTCCTGTGTCCCATCGTCCAGCTCTAGCCCCCTAATCATGCCTCATCTTTACACCAAAGGCCTCAACAGGATGAAACACACCATACTCCCTGGGTAACAAAGTGGAGGGTCATTTATTTTACTGCGTTAGATACCCGACATCCCAAACCAGAGTCGCCTCTGCCTGCCATGTCTGTTTGTCTGTGTCCCTTTTGCAGCATGTTTGACTCTGGTGTGTGTAGAGGGCTTGTCGGGCAGCCTGTAAGTACTGCTGGAGAACCCGCCGCTGCCTCCCTCATCCAGTGACCGTCACACCAACGAAATGACTCTTCTTAAAATTCAGTCACCAAGACAGCGCTTCTCAACCTTCCTAGTGCTGCAACCCTTTAGCACAGCTCCTCATGTTATGGTGATCCCCCAACCTTAACATTTTTTTTTGTTTTGGTACTCTATAATTTTGCTACTCTTATGAATCATAATGCAAATATTTTTGGAGATACAGGTTTACCAAAGGGGTCACAGCCTACAGGTTGAGAACCACTTCACCAAAAGATATTTCCCAGAAATTTTATCTGATTCCCCCTTCAGGGAAAACAGAACTCCTGGCATGGTCTCAGAGGCCTACACCCATGCCTTTGGACTGAAGAAAGGCTGAGTAATGGTCAAATGAAGTTCCCCAATAAATCAGGTTAGTTTTCACCTTGCCCACCTTGTCTGCCTCTGCTTCGGCCCGTCAGTGCGGTGCCACCCCCAATATACGAAACACATTCACATATCCACTTTCCCAATCATCTGTTTCTCTTATGGAAAGTCTCCGAGCCCTCTATTCTGTCACCAGGTCTCTGCAGCAAGTCTCAGAATGTCCATGTGGTCGTATTTTTTTTTTCTAAGTATTAAAATAGCGAGTTCACTTTATTAGCCGTTATCTAGGCAATAGCAGATAGCAGGTTATCACCACTGATGTTTTGGTTTGGAGTTTGCGTGTAGATTATCTTTCTAAAATTAAATTTATTTGACAATTTTATACATGTATATAATGTATTCTAATCACACTCATCCCCTCTCTCTTGTCCTCTTCCTGCCTTCATTAACCCATCCTCTTTCCTACAAGTCTTCCTCTCACTTTTATATCTCTTTGTTTTGGTTTTATTTTGCTATCTAGGGCTTAACCAAAGCAATTGTGAGTGTGGACTTATAGCTCTCTCCTGGAGCACAGAGAGATAACCAGTGACGAAACCACTACAGACAATGACCCTCTCTCAGCAGCCATCAACAGCAGCCTTCCTTAGGGAGGACATGAACCCTCCGTCTGTGACTGAATGTTGACAGGCTCAGCCTGCTATTGGCCTAGTGCAAGCAACCATAGATGCCATGGATTCACGACTGCAACATCCATGTCATGCCCAGAAAGTAGCCTTCCTCTCCATCACAACCCTCCTCCCCATTATAGCCCTGATGTTATTTCTACCCCTTTCTTGCCTTAGCCTTAGCACTCAATACTGACTAGTTCTCAGCATCTTGAGCAGCCATGAGTCTCTGTATTCACGATCATTTACGGTAAAAGGAAACTTCTCTGATTAAAGTTGAGAGTAGTACTTGTTTATGTGTGTAAACATAGATATTTAGAAAAAGTTTGACACCATGTCCATTTAGCAATCTAGCAATACTAGATTCCACCCAGGACCTCCCTAGGCATGCACTTTTGAGTATGTCAGGCATAGTCAGGCCTGAATTGCCTCCTTTAGACTGGGCCTCAAGTCCAGTCAGAAGGCAGTTGTTTCCTCCATAACGGTCATGGCACTATTACAGTAATGGGTACATCTTGTCCAGCAAGCCAGTGTCATGGCCTGCAAGGGGCACTTCTAGGTAAGACTGTCGGTGACTTTTCTTCCAGAGCTTCTTTCATAGCACCATCAGGCATTTTGAAAGCTGTGCCAAAGGGAGGAAACAGCTAGCTCAATTCCAGCTTGATTTCTTTATGTCCTGAATCTGAAGTCTCACCCTCCTCGTTCTGATGGACATCTAAGAGCAAGGGCAATAGTCTTTGTGGTTTGGAGCTCCCTCAAACAACTAATAGGGGTGCATCCCACATTTGACACTAGGATTTTTCACTTGATCTCCAACGTCCTTTGTTTTCAATTATCCTGACCCTTGACTACGAAACAAAACAAAACTTTCTGCAATGTGCCTTTTTATATACTGTACTCTCTATAGTAAATGATTTTTCCATTCTCTCCTCGTTTGTCTATCTCACTCTGTGTGTGTATGTATCTATGTGTGTTTGTGTGTGTGTATCTATGTGTGTTTGTGTGTGTGTGTATCTATGTGTGTTTGTGTGTGTGTGCATCTCTGTGTGTTTGTGTGTGTATGTATCTGTGTGTGTGTGTGTGTGTGTGTGTGTGTGTGTGTGTGTGGTATGTGAATGTACGTATGGCATATGCATTGTCTGCATATAGACGCTCCTGTGCATGAATGGGGAGACCAGGGAGCATTGGGTGACTTCACATTCTCTGCCTCATTTCTTTGAAATAAAATGAAAAACTATTAGGAGGAAATGGGAGCATAAAGATTTCATTATTTTAAGCAAAAATAAAATATTGCTTAGGAAAACAAACAAGTATACACTGTTTATCAAGGAGTAGGAAATTTATTTCACAATAACAGGACAGTTTGTTCCTATTAAAATAAGTTAATCAGCTGAGTCTATAGCTCGGTGCAGAGCACTTTCCTACGAGGTGTATATCCTGGATTCAGTCCTGGATGATAGAACAATAACAACAAAAATAACAAGTAGAACAAACCGGCTGCTCACATGCTTGCCTCTTTAGACAATATTATATATAGCATGT